TAAAGGAACTGAATTATTCCTTTTCACCTTAGCATGTACATAACTAATTTATTCTTTCCAGGCAGGCTTTTTTAAATTACTGTGCTACTCTTGGCTCCTGTCTATGCAAATATAAATTGCACAGCTGGTCTCAACCATGTAAATGAGAGTTGCCTCTGCAGAAATCAGAACATTTTTATGCTGCTGTGTGCGTCCCTGCAACAGTGGCAAATAACGAAAGCAATTTATAACAGGTTACTCAAGTGGTGAACCTTAGATGCTGAGTACTGTTTCTAAAAACAAGCCGAAGTTGGATTTTAAATAAGACATGAATGTATGTGGTCATAACAAGGTGGTGTGTGTTTTTTTGTTGTTGTTGTTGCTGGCTGGTTGGTTGGTTGGTTTTTTTTTCTCTCGTTACTGACCAAGTAAACTTAGAGGTTTCCTCACCTCTGAGGTGAGAGGAGCAGATTGTCTTGATTTCTGCATTTTCCCAAATTATCACATGTCTTAAGTCACCTTCTCTGCCTTGCCCCCCTCGGGGCTGTGGGGCTTCTGGCTGTGATTCCCCCTGCCCTATGCGTAGTCAGCCCGTCTGGCCGGCCTGCACGTACCAGCTATTGCTGCTGCTTTTGCAGCTCTGCACCTGGGACTGATTCTTTTTATCTGTGTTGTTTTCTCTTCCTTGCTCAAGTCCTTGACAATCACTTTACAATTGCTTCTGACTTAGCTGCATGCCAGAATGAAGAGAGATAAGTCGCATAATATTAAAACAAACAAAAAAACCTACTGTGCAGGTCTTCATTGCTCATCTCTTGCAAGCTGATTGCAAGTGTATGCAGGCATCTAATGAAAAATGACTTGTTGCTATTAGTTATGTTGGCCAGTGTTTTAGGTTGTCTTTGAGTGCCAGACATTTCTTCCTTAGTTCTCTCTTCTGTATGGAAGACTCAATATTTTGAATATTTTCTTAATATTTCTTCTACTTTTTGGAAAATGCTTTAAAAAGGTAGTTTCTCAATTTCCAAAGTGCAAAACAGTAACTCCAGAAATGAAGTTACTTTTGTTTGGGTGAATCCTTGGTAAAGCTAATGTGAGATGCTGTTTCCCCTGCACTGCTGTCAATAGTTTCAGATCAGAGACTTTTGATAACACAATTTTGAAGGAATTATTTCCCATTTCCATACTGCCTGTTGTCTTTCGTCTCATCCCTACATTGTAACACAACTTCGGTAAGATTTTTTTTTTCCCTGTTTTTTTCAAAGCTCAGTTGTTTTTCTTGTTTTGGTTCACATTTGGTTCCTGTTCTGAGATTCACAGTCCCAGAAACAGCTGTGTCTGCAACAACTAAAATGGTGGGATGTCACGCTGTGGGGCTGAAAAGGAGAACTAGGGCAAAAGAGGGTGGAAATTGTGGCACGTTTTGTCGCATGCTTTGCGTTGTGCAGGAGCAGCTGCAGGGCCGCGCTGGTCTGCTCCGCTCGGAGCTCGCAGCCTGCGGCCGAGCGGTTTGTGCAGCCCTCGTGGCCGCGGCCTTTTCTTTAGCACGGGAAGCCGTGCCTGGGGAAATGCTGTAGTCGGGTTTCTTCTCAGTGTGGTTTTGAGGAAGCACGGGTGAGGATGTGGCTTTTCTGAAATGGGTTAGAAAATAGAGTGCAAAAGTCAGCTGTTGGTCATGTCTTGGTAAACTGCAGTTGCAAATTGCAGCCTTGTGTAACTTTTTCCACCTTACGCATATTTTTGATGGACTGAATGTAACATATTTCTTAATCCATCTTGTTAGAAAGAATGTTTTGCTAAAAGTCATTTTCCTTTTACGTCTTGATAGCCTTTATTAGAGTTTTTTGTAGATATAAAAGCCCATTGTATTTGTGTTTTTCTCTAAGATATCTGCATGCTTCATTCTTAGTGTTGTCTCTGAACCTTTAGGTCCGTTCGCAAGAATTATAGAAAATGTATATATGTGTGCAACTGTGAATAATGGAAATATTCCATTTGAATTCCTTGTTAATATTGGCAAATATTCACAAGGCTCACAGGGAAAGGTTCTAGCTGGATTTTCTTTACTCTAGACTTAACTTCTGTGACATACTGGCATTGTAACGTGATGGAAAATAGCCTGTGTCTACTCTCTGGCCATGTGCTCTCTCTGCTCGTGAGCAAACGCAAGAGAGGCAGCAGTGAAGCAGCCTGTCAAAATGGCATTCACCTCACGGGGATAAAGCTGAAGTTTGGTTTTATGCTCCAGAGGCCTTATGCAACCTGAAGGCAGCTACTTGACCTTTCTGTGTTTGTTCTTCATGTGAAATCTAAAGAAGTAATTGCAACTGACTATGAAGTAGGAGTGTACTGTGGGTAAATACATAGCCTTATTCACCTGCTGTGGTAATGCAAACCTGCAAGCACTTTATACAGCTGAGGAATTCATCAAGCTGAAAAAGTGCATTAAATTTAACTAGTGCTTTTTAAAAAGAAGAGCGAAAAACAAGTTAAACTGAAGAGCAAGGGGCGTTGCCCCACAGTGAGACCATTATGGAGTGCCGGCTCTGGAAGCAGCTGCACGGTCTTGATAACCTTGTAATACATTCACAGGTCTCGAGCCGTAGCCTCTGAAATGCACTGCTTTCGTTTCCATGTCAAAGCCAGTTTACTCTGAGAAACCCAGTCTGTCGTTCTGTCCACCAAGCTGTTCCTGCAGAATTTATCCTTTGAGAAGGGGTCATTCAGCCGATCTCCTCCTTGACTTCTGGATAAGATCATGAAACTTATCTTGGAGGGTTTAGGAAAACTGTTAGGTACAAATTGGTAAGCCTCTTACTATGTTAATATCTTTCTTTTGCCCTGAAGCTGCACGACTGGCTTAAAGGCTGGTCTACCAATCCCTTGCTCTGCTTGTGTCGCTCCTGTTGAAGTGGCAGTTTTTCTTCGCCCGGTACCTTCAGTCTTCTGGACTGTGTGGTTTGGGCTCCTGTGGATTAAATTGGTGGGTTCCCTGGGACAAACCACCTGCCCGTCCTTCCCGGCCCGTCGCACGTGCCCTGCCTGTGGCCGAGACGCAGC